TAGCTCTGAAAAGTAGCTCTTATTTGAATGATCAAAATTAATATGTCATCAATGTAGTCAAATGTTAATACTACCTTTAACAGCTTAATAAACAGAGCTGCTGGAAATCTTTGTCAAGTACAAGCTTTCATTCGAATGGCCATACTAAAAGATGGTCAAATGTTAGAAGTTGAAATCAACAGTATACGCTGGAATCTCTCAGATCTCTGATCAGCAGCTTTTGTTGGGATTGTTATTGTTAAACTATTATCTAAACTTAGTCGTTAAAACCAAAGCAAAGTAAACCGCTGTGGAAAGTACTATTAAAAGTAGTTTTAGCGTTAGTTTCTTCATTGTCACAGATTTAATTGCCATACAATGGGGTGTGGGCTCCTGGTTTCTAAGGATTACTTTGCACTTTTCAGTGCATACTTCAAGGAGACCTGAAAGCCGCTGAGCAACTGAAAAAGGAGTTCAAGATTCCGGATAAAAGGTTTGTAACATTTTTTTATCAGAGACTGTAAACAACGAGACCTTTCTCATCTGAGGGCCCTTTTTTGAAACAACCTTTAGCTACACCACGTTGAACAAAGGCTTGCTTGTTCACACCACTGATTTGTAGCCTGTGTAGAATACATTTGAATGGGAAGGGAAATGTGGGAATTAGGACGCGCTAGGGAGGAGGAAATTTAAACGCAGTCGTTTAGGAAAACATTGGACTTCCAGATCCTTTTCTTAGACTTAAGGGGTTAATTGAAGAAAATAAGTGCCTTTCCAGTCTACACTATATACTTTCTTAAGATTTTTCACGAAAAATGGTGTTTAGATAAAAACGTTTAGCAAACTGAAAATGGCCAAGAACGCGGTTTTGTTAAACACGGGTTAAACTCCGTTTAAACAACTGGCCCAAATGGTCTCTCTACTTTCATCCTCGCGCGCCCATCGCGTTCTCGTTCTCACACGGGCTGTTTTCAAAATAGCCTGTACTATGTAGAGCTAAGGCTTGTTTGGTCACACCCTGATTTGTAGTCTATGTGGCAAGCATTGGAAGTCGAGTGATAGAGGGGCAGGGGGTAAGGGCGCGCGAGGAGGGAGAAAAGAAAGGGTTTCCGTCCTTTCCTCCTCGCGCATTCATCGCGTTCTCGTTTTCACACGGTCCGTTTTCGAAATAGCGTGTAGTTGCACCACGTACAGCTTATGTTTGCTAGTTAAAACCCCTGATTTGTAGCCTGTGTGGCAGGCATTTGAAGGAGTAGTGAAAGGAGGGAGGGAATCCGAACGCGCGAGGAAAAATAGCAGGCAGGAATTCCTTCCCTTCCTCCTCGCGCGGACATCGCGTTCACGCGCACCTCAGTTATTCCTCCTTTTCCTACCCCTTCAAACTCCTTCCTCATAGTTTAGCTCATTTGCCGCATTGTCTTGTCTTTAGGCTTTACTGGCTGAAAGTCACAACTGGCTGGAACTCGACAAGTTTTCCAAGGCTCGTAAATCTCTAATTGGATACGAGGTAAGTTTATTGACAATGTTTTCCAAAATAATTAAGCAATGTGCTCAACTAGGGACAGATACGGGCAAAGCTAATCCTTTAAACCCTAAAATCCGAACTCACTTACGCAGGTAATTTGGGACCTTACAAAACTACCATGGCGACGGGAATGGAAACGCCTAAAACGCAATAGGTTAATGAAGGAGCGGAACAACAGCTTTACACGTCCATCAATCTTTTTTGTAAATTTTTTTGCCTTTCCAACACATCTACGATAGGACATGACTAAATTTGAGAAATTTGAGAATGGGACTCCCCCTACCTTCAGCTCCAACCTAATTTCCCTTCTTTTAAGTAACTAGACGAATTGAAATGATGCGAAGTCAATTTTTCATCGACCTTTTCCATTGCCGTCGCCGTTATCAGATCGTCAGTACAGGTGGTTAGGGTCTACGCCTTGTTACGGCGGTGGTCAAAACAAGGACAAGTTTGTGAAGAGAAAAAAGGAACCGGAAACGGGTTTGTAACAGAGTCGAACGTTTCTACAACGGCTCCCTTGAGAGCAAAGTGCCTTTTCTAGAGGAGTTGCCTTTGTGGGGAATAAGGGGGCATCTCGGAACACTCCGCAATATCCCCTGGAACATCCCCCGGAATCTGGGAGTAAGTAAAATGAAAAACACAAAAAGAAACCCTAACCCCACTGTGTAAGATATTAAATGTTCAAGAGTGAATGTACGGACTGTCTGGCGGAATAAAAATCATGCTAGTCTTGGACAGATGGCGATTGGAAGATTCGTAGGTATTTATCAAAAAGCATTTATTTCTTTTGTATTAAAGGCTACGTTCATGAGTTCCCATGACTGTAACATTGTGAATAAACATTCCAATGTGAAGACGCTGTAAATTTTATTTACGTTGCTTTTTTTATAGCCATTTTTTGAAGTATGCCTGGAATGCAACAACAGAATAGAAGCGGAGAAATATGTCTCCAGAGTTCTCCTCGAAAAGAAAGTGACGTGTTATGTGAAACTCGGGTGAGTTTATCAGTTCATTGAAGTTCTTACTTTACTCAAAGGCTGACTAAACAAACTTACCTTGTGTAGTGGTCACTTGTGTTGCAACCATGCCGTTCATCCTTTCACTGAATCCGCTGACCACAAAACCCTGGGCGTATACAAATTCGTAAGTGATTGGGAACAATAACTCGAGTTCTGCACTGCTAATTGATGCTACCCTGAGAAAATAGCTGACATTTTGTGATTCCACCACTGGTTTCCTCGCGAACTGGTCTGAAGAATGTTTGCAGATATTCCATACTGATATGACGTGTAGCTTTCTATCAGTAAAAACAAAATTGACTGGTTTGTTGGCTAGGACTCGTCATTTAATTCCTTTGATTTTGATTTAATTATTTGATTTCGGGCCTGAAAAGTTACCGGAACTTTCGAGAAACGGGCTAATCATATTCCACCTACTTATAAACGACATTTTAACTTTTGTCCCAGGAAATACGAAGATGCGGCGAAAACAGCTTTTGCTCAGAAAAGCGAGGAGGGCCAGGATTTAGTCCTTGGAAAATGTACAACTTCAAATCGTCCGTTGGTGAACCGCATTTAAGAAATGAAGGCTCCTCTGTGGCAAAGACGTTAAAATTCTTAGATAGATTGAAATCTTAACCCCAAGATAAATTCTCAGTCGAAATTCTCAGTAGAAAAGCCTTATTAGAATGTATTTTGAGCAAGTTTCGTCTCATCAAGCGCACCTTGCGAGTTCATGGAAACCGAGTTCGTGTTAATTGGATCAAGGTAGAGGCTAAGTACTGTAACAGTTTCCCCAACACTTGCAATTAATGATTTTCGGGTTACCCAAGTCGCTACTGCTAAATCTCTTGGAGTGACCATCGATGATAATCTCGATTGGGGTAGCCATATGGAGAAGATAATAAAGAAAGTATCTTCTGGCATCGGGGCCATAAAGAGAGTATTAAAGGCACCTTGTCCCCCAAGCGACCTTACAGCTAATTTACCACGCTCTTATTCACCCTCATTTCAATTACTGCAATACTGTTTTGGCCGGAAACTGTGGGATAACCTTAAGGAACAAACTTCAAAAACTACAAATTAGAGCAGCCCGTTTTTTGACATTTTCAGACTACGATGAAGACGCTGGTTACCTGTTTGAACTCCCAGGATGGAAAAATCTAGCACGCCAGCATGAAATTGAAAAAGCCACGATGGTTTCTAAGTCTTTACACCGGTTGGCCCCAGAATATTTAAGTTCTAGGTTTGCAATACGAGAAACGGCATATAACCTTAGAGACTCTGAGAATAAACTTTGTATCCTTTACCACGGACAAATTATTACAACAATAGCTTTAGCTATAGTGGCGCCATCCTATGGAACAAACTCCAGTGTAATGTGAGACAAGCAGAGTCCCTTACGAAATTCAAATGTCTTCTTAAACAAGTACTCAAGGGCGCGGCATTCATGGAAAGCAGCTTTTTCTTTAATATTTTTATTATAATGTAGATAGTTTATACTGTTTTCTTATTTGAATTGTAATGAATTGTATTTAACAATTATTCCTCGAGCCCGAATGGGCTCTGAGTCAATAGCCCATTCGGCCTTCGGCCTCATGGGCTATTGACTCAGAGGCCATGAGGGTGAGAGGAATAATTGTTTTAGTAAAATCCAACTAGTTGGTCAAAAATATCGAGACAAAACAACTTTAGCTAGTTAAAGTAAGACTTTAATCCTTTTTTGCCGCCAAAAAGCCAGCGCTTTTCGCTACTAGTGGGCTATAACATATAGCCTAGTATTAGCTCACCCAATCAGAATTCAACATTGATAATGGAACACTAGTTGGATTTTACTAACTACCTATATCTATCTATCTACCTACCTACCTACCTCCGTGGCTGAGCCTCGGGTTCCGTTTTACCAAACACGGACAAGATTACAAGATCTTATGCTATGATGGTGGCCGGTCGTTTCGATACAAAATTGTTTCGATACAAGTAAATTTGCTTGTCAAAATGATCTTCCTGGAAAACTACCTAATAAAGGTTTTGATGCAAATTACTTGGTGTTGCCGCCGTAGTACATGTGTGTTATTGGCACACAGGATTGTTGATTGTGTACTGGCCAATCACAATAAAGCAAGCAAAGCAAGCAAACCTCAAAACTACAAACTAATTACCATTACTGTCTGCGTTTTAGTTATCTCGCGCCTTATTGGCTAACTTCTGGCAACACAATAACATTCCTTAAATATTTCTTGTGTTCACGGTTTTGTGAGTTTCACAGTAAAAATTCGTTATTTCTCACCTTTAACTACTGCAGATATAACATTATAACCCTTTTCAATTGGTGAAAATTGTGAATTACCTGAAGATCAATATTATTTAAGGTTTTCTTTTATCGTTTGTTTCACGGAAGTCGAATTACGATTTTCCGAGCGGGACTATTAGTAAACCACCGTAATCCTTAGTGATTTGGTGTATCACGAACCTCACCCAGCACATGGTTGGTAGGGCTCGATCTAAAGCATTGTTGGCATTAGAGGAGATGACTGTTCCTTCAGCGGTCCGCTGTGCTGTTGTACTGATCGGTGTCTGACTGTAGGCATCCTCGTAGCAGCCGAGAATTCTCAATTCCACTGTCCCTATTGATGCTGTTAAGAGTTTCTTTAACCCTCCGAGAGTACCAGCGAGGGTCTCGGTTACTGTTAAAAGTGACCTCGTCCCAGAGCTGATAATGCCCCGTCTTATTGGCGTGTCCAGAAACGGCTTGAAGTTTAAGTTCGTGAAAGCGGTATGTCCCTCTCATGCTCACTTTGCCATTACAGGAAAGACCTTTCCAATTTCAACACCAGAAATATTTATGGCATGTTATTGTGTTGCGAGAAATTAGCCAATAAGGCGCGAGATAACTAAACCGCAAACACCAATGGTAATTAGTTTGTGGTTTTGAGGATTCCTTTCGTATCCTAAACTTTATTGTGATTGGCCACGCAGGGTTAGCTCAGTAGTTTGAATTTTAGTGACGTCATGTTAAAACCAACAATACTCAAGGTCTTAAAATAACTGAGATATGAAGGTACTTTTTTAACCTGTAAGCGGTTAGACCTTCGCGTGCCTCGGATGACCACGTAAAATGGCGGTCCCGTGTAAAAATAGCGTCCCCAAATAGTACTCTCCTGCTAAATACCTGAAATTTTTCACGTGTTCACGGTTTTCTGAGTTTCACAGTAATCTAGCCCGCTTGGGATTTCCTGCGGGATTTCTTGCTTATCTGTTCACTCCTTAAAAATCTGTCATTTAAAATAATTTTAAATGACAGATTTTATACGTCGCTTAGCTTCTTTGCTTCCAGGGAAAACTCGACGCCAGAGTTCCATAACAATGCTTTATTATTTTTTTTGCGGTAAAAACGTCAGGAAAGAAAATAGCCTTAACAATCTGACTACGAGTATTCTGTCATTTTCCTCACCACCCGCAGGAAAGGTGACGCGCGAAAGAAACAGAGCACCGCGCGTGGGACACCTTCCTCGTGGGTCGCGATTTTCAATAATTTAGCGCGTTCATTGCTAACCAGGTCTAAGGGACAGGTCATTGTTTATCTCCGGGGATGGGGGGAGGATTTGAGGCAAAACAAGAGGAAAGTTAGCCGATACCCCCTTTGAGTGTTACTTCACTGAAGTGATCCCCCCTAATAACTTTTGATGACTTTCACGATCTCCCGCCCCCCTACCACGTCTTCATTTTCCAAGCAAATTTGAGTGGTCCCCACTCTGAATCCTTCCGAAGTTTTCAGCGATCCCCGCTTTTGGATTCTCAGTTACAACTGATCCCCCCTTTTGTTCTCCCAAAAAACAAGTAATCCCCTCTAAATTCCTCCGACCCCGCACCCAGGCGACCGGTCCCTAACCCATATATGGCATACATGGCAAGACCTGAAACCAGGCCAAATTGATGGGAGTCGAGTGCTCTGACCACTGCCTCACCCCTCCCCCATGTGTTCAGTTCAAAACAAAAAACTATGTATTTTCTAAAAAAGTGAACCAGTAACACATTTAATTTTATTTTGCAAATAAAACATAGGAATTAACAAAATACCAATGCTATTACAATGCTACAGTTCAGTCATGATAAAGATACAATGTAAATGTTGAAAAAAAATTTTGAATCCACCAGGATATTGAGGAATTTTGATTTTCAGAGGACAAAAATCTTGTACCTTAATAATTTAAAGCATGTTGCATTCTTTCTTACATTTTTCAAGGGCTAAAGATGTAATAAATCATCTGTAGTGACAACAAAAAAAATGGGAGCCCAAGAAAATGAATGTCAAATTTTTCAGAATGTGTCATCACAATTCTCGTAAAATTTGACATTCATAATTCTCGGACTTCCATGAGAAATTTTCTTTGGTGTTACTACAGATGATTTATTACATCTTCAGCCCTTGAAAAATGTAAAACAAAGAATGCAAAATTCTTTAAATTAATCTGTTTTTTTTTGTTTTTGTCCACTGAAAATTAAAATTACTCAATTTCCTGGTGGATTCTGTCTTAAATTATTGGTATGCCTATGTAGAAATTCATTTTCATCCTTGGTTCATTTTATTTAAGAAAGAAAAAAACTTTCAACCAAGGAAAACTTGCAACAAAACACTGAGTTTCCAAGAACTTGTAGCCCGCACTGCAGCTGGCGGTTTGTTTGCTGTATGCAGGGTGTTGTTTTTGTTTGTAGTTTGTAAAGTGAGAGATGTCTCTCAAACCCCAAATGAAACCGCCAGCTAGTCTACGTAGGTTAAAGAACTTGTTGATCACAAACTTTGTATTGTTTCATTAAAACATTGAAACCCCTAACAATTCCAGCCATCTTGACCTACTTACGCTTGAGCAGTATTAATAACGTGGCATATTTACAAAGCTTTCCATTTATAAACCCACAAAGGGCTAACACTAATTAAGAGATAAGAAATATTAACTCCATTTATGTACATGTAGCTTTCTGTTAAACACACAAAGG